TGATTGGTCGATCAGCAAATAAAATCACAAGATGATCAACAAAATCTAGCCAATCACAATGAATGTTCGCTATGCTATATTTTATAACGATATTATGAACGTAGTGTTCATAACTAATTCACGAAAGCTTAAGCCATATATGTTTATTACAATAAATTAATGCTAACTATATTAGGACCGATGGCCTTTTACTTTTCGATAGTAATGTGGTTTCTTAGACCCCATCAGGAACAGTACATCGTCAATCCATTACGAATGGTATGATGATCAGATTCATATCGATCGATAGAGGTATAAAAAAATTTATTTATTTATCTTATTATATTATTAAAAAAAATTAGATTGTTGCACGGTCGAGCATAACGGTAAAATTTTTCAAGAAAAATGAAAGCTTTAATTTTTTTAGCAAAATCATATAGCCGGTGTTCTAGCTACTTTCATAAATTCTGGAATAGTTAAAAAATTTTCCAGTAACCGAATCGAGTCAGAATCAACAAGTTACTGATGTTGGCTAATGCCAAAAAACCTTTCAATTCGGTCGTTTTTCAAGTATCTATTTATAGAAACAGATCTCTCTCTACATCACATAGCATATTTGTAGAGTTTATCCCGTACCATATAGTCCGTCGTATGATGAAAGGCTCTAATATTAGCACATCTATTATAAAATCTTACCATATTAATTTGGTTTATACCTATATTATTAGAGTTAGAAATTACAGTATTGCAGATTAGTGAGTTTACTAATGTCTCCCCAACTTCTGATTGGTTCTGATAATTATTCACATATCGGAGTACCCATGTTATTAATCAATTTTTATAGTATTCCGATAGTGAAGTGGGGGAGAAATTAGTAAACTCAAGATTAGTATGGCTCTTAATTTTGTATTCCTCATGTCATATCATGCTAATCTGCTGTAATCTCTTTCGTATCTGGATAATTCTTGGCAATATATTATACTTAAATTAAGTTGATCGACCATATGAGAAAATGAAGTTTGGCATTCGTTATCTAAATGAGCTATTTTTAAATTACCAAAAATTAAGCGAAAATTAAATTATTTTAATTAGGAGTAGTTCGTGTATAGTATATAATAGCAATTCCAGTAAACCCATAATGGACGTTAAATTCCTCTCACAAAAAGAAAAAAAAAAGATGCATAAAAATGTTTTTCTATAAAAAGGGTTGCATGCTTTTGATAAATGCATCGTACGAAAATACGTGAATTATATAGAGAAAAATTTCAGGAAATTCTAAAAAGTATTTCTTAACACACCATCTTGTAATCGGATTTTAATATACAGCATATCATGAAGATGGTTCAAGTTTATTCAACATTTAATATATACCTTATACTCTTTGTGGCATTACTTGCAATCGTTTTACCTCCATCAAAATCGAAGTCAGATACTAAACTTCAATGTGAAGGTGTATCTAAAGCACTTAAACGAAATAAATCAATCGAATACAATGCTACCAAGAAATGTCTTGAGAGTTTTCCTTTTAATGCTAAACGCGCTACCAAAGTAATCATTAATATTTTTGCAAACTTTACATAATAGTTAAAATTACATACGGTATATTTACTTTTTTTTTTTTTTTTAACAAAAGATGGTTGATCTGACGTTACATTTCTTGTCAAGTTATTATGTTTTCTTTGATCGAGCCAAAGAAGGACCACCGGATGGATTTACTTATCAACCTGTAGACCTAGAAAATGAATTAAAATCGTTGCGTACTAAAACTTTTAAATCGGATTATGACTTTACGGTGCGTATGTTTATTATAAATAAATACATACATTTTACAATTTATTCAAAAATGTTAATGTAGAAGTTTTAAATTAACTAGACGGCTTTAAGAACTATTCTTTTTAAATTAAAAGATGGTCATACAAGATTCATAAATAATTGTTATACGAATTTTATTTATGATCAAAAATTAAGTTTATATTCTGTGATTACGACTGATAAAAAACAGGTAAAGTAATTTCAAATATTGGCGTCATTTATGTATACAAATATTAACTATTTTATTATTAATTAATATTAATAATTATTTGATCAATTATCGGAACATGACAGATAATTAAGGTAATTATGTAGTTAATTTATAACATATTGATTTAGATAATATTATTCAAGTAATTCTTTATATAAGAAAATTTCGATATAAGAAAGTCAGTCGGTAGCAAATATATTCAATATAAGAAAGCTATTAAGAAACATTCAATATAAATTATTATTTTGACTGCGACACCTTTATATCGTGTAATACTCTTTATTGTATTAACGTTACGTAATTATATCACTAATGAATATCTTTATTTGTTAAAAGGTTTTCAACGATACATTAGATCCATCAAATAATGACTGTGAAGTCATTGAAATTGAGGGAAAACCTGCATTACAAGTGATAATTGATTTTGCAAATGATAAAATCGCCTATTCAAAAGATTTGGGCGTTCGATTCAACATGGCTTTGGCTCCTAGCAGACCAGAATATTCACAACACTTTACTTTACGAGAAGATTTACCTGAAACTTCTAGCATCGCATATACCTTGAAGTGTCCAAAAAAACACAAGAACAAATCTTTTAAATTAGAAAGGCCATGGAACATTACATATGCAGATGGAATTGGTCTTTTTGAGAACTTTTGTTTAACACAAAATAACATTACTTCTTTTTCACTTAATGATAATTTTGCATCAAGTAGTAAAGTTACAAAGTTAGTATCAAACGATAAAAATCCAGAGTCAGAATCAAGCAATAAACTTAAAGCATCGACATCGAGTAATAAAATTGCACATGCGAAATTAGTAGTTGATGATTTTTACATATTAGATGACGAAAACAAAGTTGGTATTGCAGTAATTACTCAAGAAAAACAAATCTTTGAGGCTGGACAAAAATTTGGGTTTAATGAATTAAAAAAACGAGGTGTAGAAAAGGTAAGAATTAAATAATTGTATTAAACATGGATTATATTATGTATTTGCTTATGTATTTACTTATTTTATATTTTTGACAGCTTATTTTAGATATGACAAATAATATTGGTGGAGCTCTTACTGAAACTCTATTCTTGACATCATTACTACTTTCATCTGAACAACCCAATTCGTTTCCGACGAATATAATTATTAATGATTTTACTATTCGAACAATTGAAGACAATTTTAAACACTTAAGTTCAGATGATTATAATTTGTATAATCCAAATTTTTATTTGAAGTTTCCTCGCGGCGATAAATTTAGATCTCCTAGTGAGTTTATAGGAACTCGAAAAAATCGAACATCTAATTTATACCTTAATGCTCTAACACCCGATGAAAAGAAATTACTCAATAACACCTCTTTTCCATGGACTAGTGATGATATCATCATTTTAACTAATGGATTTTGTGCATCCGCATGTGCGTTAATCACCATGTTTTTTTCTGAAATTCATAATGTTAAAACAGTTGCCGTTGGTGGTCTTTATAATACACAAATGTCATATTCTACTTTTCCTGGTGGTGAAGTTACATCAGAAAATATTATTGGAGGTGATGCTGGCGATAATTCTACTGAATTTCCAGGAGTGAACGCGCTTCTTCTTACTGTAAGAGAAGCTCATGATTTTGTCAAAAATGGTACCATAAAAGTAAAAGATGTATTAGAATATTCATATAAACCTGCTAAATATAGACTTTATTATGATGAAAATAATGCTAAAGATCCTAGCTTATTATGGCTTGAAGCTTCTAAAATTTTAAACAAAAAAACTTAGTTTTTTTAATGATAGATTAATTTTTAAATGATAAGTTGATTTTTTTATAAACAATTAAATTACAGTAATAATTATATATCTTCAATATATATATATAGTAAATGAGACATGACACGTTTTCGAAGTAAATTTATTGAACTTAAAGAACAATTTTATAAGTTCTATAATAAATTGATAGAGCATTTTTTTTTAAAAAAAAGTATATACATAAATTTATGGTAAATTCCCCATATAATAAAATTACTCGGGCCATGTTTGTGTCCGTCCGACTTTTAATCAAGAACGTTATTACGTATTATGATAATTATGGTATGAACTGATTACTTAGATGTAATGATATCTAAATGTGGTTACGATAAATTTCAAGTTAGATATCTATCAATTAGATGACTTTATTACGCAAAGGAAAAACATACGGGAATCCGTTCGCTATCATTAAAGGGGCTCTATATCAATTATTTACGAACCCCGTCCTAAGCGATTGTACATAGCAACTTCATAAAAATTCGCGGTTTGTAATGATATACGCTAAAATTTCATTGGCCAAAGCAAACCGAAGATCGTCAGCGTTTTTTGACGTTAGAATAAGAGTATGTATTAGGATGATAATAGTAAGGGCAGAGTATGTAAGAAAATTTTGTTAGGAAGTAATCGAAATTTTGAGTTATAGACAATTTTTTTTAAAAAAAAGCCGTAAGTTTGGTTTGTTTTCACGTGACTCCTGATCCTGTGTCGTGATTGGTTTAAAATCACGTGTCTGCGGACATTTTATGCTAATAGGTAATAGCGATAGTGGTGGCGAAATCTACAAGTTCACATGACACCTACCAATTCGGGGGTCGGTTCGAGGTAGGAACGTCCCGAGTGCCCCGAGTTTGTAGATCGTTACACAATTTATTAATGATTTTTTTTTATACGT